TTTTCTTGTCACAAGCTGTACTATTCTGTGAATAGTCGGCTGCTATAGGTTGGGCTTTCACAGCTCTTCAAATAAACTTCTATCATTCAATTCTGGTGGTACATCTTACGTCCCCATTAAGGACACAATCTTGATACATACTGATTTCTCGGGAACCTGTGGCAGTCCGACTTGTCGGGATGGCAAACTTATCATTTTCCTCGGAAGTTTTACAAATTCGTGTCACAAGTACCATCAAAACGAGGTCGCATCTGGCGTGTCCCCATCCGAGGTTTTCAAGATTGCTATAGGAACTTCTGGGGTAGGAGGAGTGAGCCATGAAAATGCTGCCAGATCAGTGCTTACGTTCCCTTGCAGATAAGATCTCAATGATTCTACTAGAATGGTAAACAAAGCTGAAGGAGCGGGTTTGCTCCGATTATGGAAGCATTTGGTCGGCTTTCTTGTTTAGTGACAGTATATGTACAGATTTCGGCTAGGATTAATTGTAAATGAGAACTCCGTTTAGCTCTTTTTTATGCCTGAAAATAGTCGAAGAAGAAAACAAGATATTAGTTCAGGTGGAGTGGGAATTTCAGTAGAGCCTGGAAGCTTCTTTTCCGGCATCGCATTGCCTTTTTTCTAGCTTCTATCACATATTTGTGAGTGTTCAAGGAAGGTGTCTGTCGAAATGGCTGATTAAACTGTTGAACTTCCAGCGAATTCCAAATAAAGGAGTGCTGCTGACTAAGCACTTTTCCGTCATTGTTCGTACCTTCGTACCCAAAGACGGCGAGACAACGACTTATTTCGATGACAAAACCCGCGGTGATTACCTGATAACTCCCGAAAGGTTATCAAAAAACGCCCTTATTTTCATTAGCATATTTCGAAAGGTTTTACGAGCCGGGATATCCAAATAGGCGTCGTGGACAAACAGACCATCCTTGAATAATTGGGACAAGTTGTCGAGCAAACAAAGATGAATCGATCACTTATACATTGAAGACTAGGTGAACAGGTATTCAGAACCTCTTCGCAGAATACTATTTGATGTAATGGATTTATGGGAATCCAAAGTGGTCTGGGATGAGCTACAAGTTGATTTCAGACAAACTAACCGCCCACACCTTCCCACACGGATCAATTCTTCGAGTATTAAAGGCTTGATTCAGCATCGTCTTAAATTATCTTCGATTTCTCACCCCTTCCAACTAACCTAACTACAACTAACTTTTCCTATCGTACCAATCCTCTACCCTCTTTTTCAATAAATCGGAAATACCCTATAGACTCTGACCAGTCCTCCTGGATCTCCGCCTTTTTACCTCTTCATTTTTCCATCAGAAATGTGGTAATGACGATGTGCTCCGGCTTGTTGATGAATGAGGTGGAGGTTGAAAACTTCCAGGCAAACATTTTGTTCCAATGGATTTAAAGAGTTCAGGCTTCCACGTGATAACAGTCACATGACGAGGAACCAGAGTAAAAAACATTATCAGAAGAAGTACATAAGATTTCTTCCTAGTAGATGATAATAAATTTTGCGGGAGAAATGAGAACACTTCAAATCCATGGGATCACTTTAGTTTGAGTTCATGGGTATAGAGGAGGTGAAGTGGTGAGAAACAGTGTTTACCTAAGTCAGTTCAGTACACATAACTTCAAGATCAGTTAGTTATCAGTTTCAGATATGAGAATACTGTAGATCGAAACACAGTACTGGAACTATTTCATTCTTGGAAAACAAGAAAATTGAATACTATTGATGCCCGCAGTTGGGGATTTTGGGAATCTTTCCCTCAATTGATAGTCAGAAGAAGAAAACTCGCTTTCGCAGTTCCATGCCAAACCCTTTCACTTCCTCCTTTACCCATCACAACCCATCATCTACGAAAATTTGATCCAGTATGATAACTGTCATGAAGACTACTAGTTCGGCCAGCCATGAGTTAGCCCAAGTGATAAGTTTGATAACTGCTTAAATGATAAGTAAACAGTAATTGGAGATGACTAGGTCGAGGCCATCGTCGCCTCGTGATTTGCGAAAAACTTTCCAAAAAAGTCGAAAAATCGAAAGTGTTCAATTGTAATCTTTACAACTCTCTGTTACAAAGTAGTCACACTGCACGTGACATTGACATTACTCTTTTAGGTTGGAGAGTAGCAGAAGTAAAAGCAAAACCGTCAGCGCTGTTCCGAGTCGCTCCAAAATGAGACATGCTGGCATCAAGATAGTTTAGGAACGTTTCCAACTCCCAGTCGAGGACGAGGAAGGCAGCAAACACGGAAGTTACTTTACTCTACGTACATTCCCAGGTCCGTCGTGTAAAGTGTTTACAGCATCAATCTCAAGTAAGTGACAGCTTAGCCATCATTCAGGTCACAAGGTTCCCGTGGGAAACACTAACAGCCGTTACAAAGTTGTTATCACTGGGTAAAATTTCAATTTTTGTTGCGAAGAAAACATCAGCAAGAAGAGGAGACGAGTGGGCCATGCGGTATGCGGATGCGTCACGGTAGTGATTCCTCTTCACAAGCCTGAATCCATTGTGGTATCCTGCAAAGAAAACAACCGTAGTACTACTGGTCACTTTAGGGAGTTCAACTTTCTGATTTGGATGCACCGGGCAATCCTCTACCCTCTACATTTATACCTAGCAAGAGCACCAACGCTAACCACGACCAAACATTTCTTCTAGAACGGTCTACGACTTATGGGCGGAATCATTTACTGCGATGATGTTTTCTTGCCCCCGCCGTCCGATCGAAGGTCAGCCCGAATCTGCAGAGAAAAAGAACATCGCTCTCTCAAGAGAGGGGAATACCTGCAAAACGTGGAGACAGAAGTTTCTCGTCTTGGATACTGTAAGTGAACAGTGATCCGCTATCATTGTCATTTGATGGTTGGAGAACAAGTATAGAAGTGTAGGTTAATTCGTCAGGAATGTGCCGTTCCCCTACCTATCCGTTATAGTTCTCTTGATAGATAAAACAGTGACTTAATAGGTCTTCAATGGCAAAATGTGTTTGCGCCTTTACGATTCCAAAACTTGTTCCATTCCAAGAAGCAACATTTTACTGTACCGCGTTACAGCTCTCAAACTTGAAGACTCCTACGTCGTTTACGACGCCATTGCAGTCCAGACAAGGTACTTTGTAATCGGTCTTGGAAAGAAATCGAAGTGAATACACCCCTGTAGATACATTTGGCAAAATATTACCTAACAGCTACTATGAAAGTTCTACTGAATTTGATGCTCCAGGAGGACGACATACTGAAGGGCTTGGTTATGCGAACGCGTACAACGGAAGAAGCGAATACGGTCATTTGGAGGCTCAACACGGGAATCTATGAGATCGGATATCTGCCGAATTAGGTGATTTATTGAGCAGGATATCCGCAACTCACACCCTCGCTCGTCCCTTTGTCCTTGATGGAAGTCGGACTCACTTAGGAACCCATAGGACTTGGCCGGAACCGACAACGTTGCCTCTTTTTTGCCATATTTCGCTAACTAGTGCTTCTACCAATATTACGTAGGTTTTAATTAAATTTCGGTTGATCGGTCAATTGAACAAACCCTTATCTAAAAAGTTGTCTCGGTGTTCGCTATTGGCCTTATCAATTCAGGTTATCATAACTGCGTTTTTCGTTGAAAACTTATTGAATTATCAGTGATCGAAGAGAGTGGCTGTCGATCGCCGACCGACCGACTAACAGACTCGCCGTTCACGCCCTTTTCTGAGAAAAGATAAGTGAAGCTATGGGAAATACCCAGAACCCAAAGGAATATTAGCGTTCAAGGGAAGAAATACTATTTTCCATCAAGAAAAAGGATACGCGACTTTTGCATATCAAGCATACACACCGACTGAAAATACGTGAACAGGGCTATCATTTGGTCCCAGTGAGCCGCCATGAACTCTCAAAAACCGACAGTTACTTGATCTTTTGCAAACCGCTATGTGGTGAACTCTGAAGATACGATACCGACTGGCCGGCTGAAGTAGCCCGGCAAAAGTGGTGACTGCTGAAAAGTTATTCATTAGCTGTAGCTTAAAAGCCATTAAGAAGGGCAAGGAGTCTCAGTAACGAGGACCTAAAGGATCAAGGGCCCGGAAAGCACGACTACCGGTTCGGGTCCCGTCCGAAGCCAAAGCTTTGCTCACAACCAAGTATGTACGAAGACCTTTCCTCCCTTAAATCCCTAAATTCTTTTTGTAATGTTTTCCTCCAAAACAAGCCGTAATGTTCTGAGTAGAGAGATAGTGACCACCATCCTTCGCCTACGAATGTTTATTTCCATGAACATCTTCAATGTGATTAGAGTGAATCCTGAGTGGTTCCGAGGTTAATAAGGCACCCAAACCGGCGGTATGGTTCATTTTTATTTGTACTCCCATACAGCAGTGTCCGCGATTCGGTCGTGGTCAGCTGTACTACTTGAGCTACTAGTTCATGGCGGCGACTGACGCGATCAAGTTCAATAATGGAAAGGTCCGTTTCGTACATGCGAAAGTTTTGCCGGATTGCAACCATACTGTCATTCTAACTGAACCTATTTACAGGTGGTCTGTGGCCGTTGGAAAGTGCTGGCCAGGCTTGGTGCAGGCGGCTGCGGCAGTGTCTACAAAGTGGAGGACCTGAAGCGAAAAGGCTATATTGCTGCGTTGAAGGTTGACTTAGAATTCCTTCTTGGAAACCATGTCTTAGGCAATCTGCTTAGGCGGAAGCAATCATTGAAGACGACAGCGGTGTGTTGAAGCTTGAAGCAGCCGTTCTAAAAAAGCTTGCCGATCGGAAGAACGTCATACGACTCCTGCAGTCTGGGAAACGGACCAAGTACAGGTATGGTGGGAATGCGTGATCCAGCACTCCAGGCAGCCCTCCATCTGAGTAAGACCGCACCCGGTTTCAGTAACATGGTAAATGGAAGATGCTCCTCGCCCACTCCCNCGGAGACGAGTGGGCCATGCGGTATGCGGATGCGTCACACTGTTGATTCCTCTTCACAGGCCTGAATTCATTTGTAATAGAGTCTATGATACCGTAAATGTGGTATCCTGCAAAGAAAACAACCGTAGCATAACTGGTCACTTTAGGGAATTCAATGTTCTGATTTGGATGCATCAGACAATCCTGTACCCTCTACATTTATACTTTGCAAGGGTACCAACGCTGACCACGACCAAACATTTCTTCTAGAACGGTCTACGACT